CTTCTAATTTGAAGAATGTACAAGGAGTGGCTTTGTACAATCCTGTGCTTGCAGGACAATCCTCATTATATTGTTGATGGTTATTTGTTCATTGCCATCAAAGTTTTCCCAAGAATTTGTTTTCGTGTGCATGCTGATATTGATCTAGCAGTACCCATGGAGGATGAACGTGTTAAAATTGATAAATTAATGGCCATCTTAGTTCTCCAATGAAACATCCTGTGCAAAGTGCTTTCTATATGGATTTTGGTGAAATTAATGGCCCTGTAGCCGCAGTTTATGATAAGAGGAGTGTTATGAGAGAATTTTCTGAAGATGCTGAATCACCACAAAATTTTGATATTGACGCTGATTCATTGAAGGTGAAATCCATATTTATATTCGATGACTCCAGTAATACTTTTAAAACTGGAAACTTCTTGGTATGCATCATTATGGATTAGAGTTTTAGTTGGTGGCTGGAAGGGAAACCCCTTCAAATAGATGCCTTGATTTTGCTATTGGAAAAATGGCGCATGTTTTTGTTAATTCAATGCTTAGAAATCCTTTGTGAAATTTATGGGTCAACATTATTATAATGGTTTTCCAGGGTGGAGAACAAAATTTCTGTTTTAGGGGCTTTGACTATGGTAACATAATGAATGGTAGAGCTTTATGGGATATGCAAAAAAATGATTGTTTTGGGACAGTGGTGCTCTTTTTACTTCAATTGAAGTGCTTCTTGAGGGATTTTTCATTGATGAATTACATCTCAAATGGCAAATGTCTCATGGGGGTTTAGTGACTCAAGAGCTGGTACTTTTTGCAACCACTAAAAGGGAGGAGATGATAGCCGGGAAGAAATTATGGGGAGCAGTGGTACAAACTTATTGGAATCTATGGTTATTTGGCACGTGAGGTATGAAAATGTGCCGCGAAGATTTGTTACTATACCAACTGTGCTTTTCTCCAATTCCTTGCCCAATGTCATGGATACTATGCACAGGAAGGTGGTGGATAGAGGTGGATAATGAACAAAAACCAATAGTATAAGAACCTTAGTTGGCTTTAACCTAATATAAAATAGGTTTCTAGAAGGCAATTGGTTCCCTAATTGAAACTGCACAATTTAGTTAATTATAATAGTTATGCCACATTTGCAGATCTTATTCATTCAATATATTCATATTGCATTACAAAATATTTATATAGAGAAAATGATTATTTAGATTCATCCCCCAATTGGAGTTTTTGTACGTACTTTTCAAATTCATCTAAAATTCATAATAATTCTATCAAATTAAAGGATTGACTCTCTCATTTAAGTACATCCAAAATATAATAGTTTATTAATTCCAAGTTTTCAACTCCTAAACTTCAAGTAGACATTTACACAGAAACAAGCAATAAATACAAGCCTTACAGTCATCCATCTATAACGTAATGCCACGTCCCGTATAGTCTTATTTGGTAGGTGTACAGCTATTTTTGCATAACGATTTGCAGATGGTTCTCATGCATATCTGCAAGGAAATAACGAAATTTAAAAGAATCAATTGAGGCAAATGTAGAGACTTAAACTATGAACTGAAGACTGCTAAATAAATTGCGAAATTGAATGAACCACCACAATGAGGATAATGTGCTTCTCAGTTGACACATATTCAGAAGGAACTAATTAACTGAAAGTTAAAAAGAAGAACGCTTTAGCACAAAACACAACACTAGAATTTACGAATTGAAGTTTCCCAATTTAAATTGGTAATACTAAAGTTTAGGATACTGGTTAACAAAGACATCCGAAAGTTACTAAGACAATATTTTTATTGTTGTAATAATACAATTAAAGTAGCCAAGAGAGGAAATTAGAATATGAAAACAAGAAAAAGAAAAGCCACTAAAACTTAGAGATCATGGCTAGACAAGTATGCGATGCAATTCAACCAAATAATCGAACAGGAAAATGCAAATATTCAAAATTCAATCTAACACTCCAAATCCAAATTAAGTTCATTACAAATGCCCAGATTAACGTAACAAAATCATTCAAACAACAAAAAGCCGAAAGAAAAAGCTGACAGCTTTAGTAGCCAGAATTGGATTCTAAGTCAGAATACCTTAACCATTCTAACCAATAGTCCCAAAACATTCAAAAGCATTTGCACCAAACCTCGGAAACTATAACATTTTTCATAAAAAACCCAAGTCTTTAAAAGAAAAAAAAAAGAAGAAAGAATAAAGAACACTCATTTTTAATCCCTTCTTCAAGAATCACCTGCTCCTCTACTGTCCACTCCATTGAGATAATGGATCGTGCTTCATACTAAAAGCAGAACAATCGGGTGCCAGATTGCCGTTGGTGGGGTTCGTTCCAGTGAAGAAATTGAACGCCCCCTGATTCTCTTGTTCTTGACGGTTCCCAGATGAATTTGCCATTCAATTAGGTTTAAAACTCAGTATCTCCACCTATCTTTGATGTAAACGAACACCCAGATTGCTCAGAGCTGCCCGTTGGTTCCCGCCATAAAAGAGCAGAGGAACAAAGAAAACGATCGCTTGGGAAGATTTTATACCGAAAAAGTTCGAGATAAAGATGTGGGGGAAGGAGATGAAGTCATGAATAGGAAGGAGATTGAAGGGAGCTCCAAGAGAAACAAAGGAATTGACACCGAAAGGAGAAGGAGAAAGAGACGCGTCCGAAACGGGAACTGATATCCCACGTTGTCCTTTTCATCTGAGAATGTCAAGCGACTTTAAAGTGAGAATGAAAAAAATAATTCTTATTTTTTTTTAGAAAAATATTTAACAGTTCGATTAGTTACTGGTTTTTTTTTTTTTTTTCTTTTATCAATTTGTCAAGCGGATGGGATGCACCTCAATGCAGTAGGATGTCATTTGCTCGAAGGGCCAGATGTACAGTGATTGGTTTTCTTTAAAGAAAGAAACATAAAAGAGAACGCGGATAAGTGAAATGCAAATTTTATATTCACTAATGGGGAGAGAGATGAGGGGATCACGCAAGATTAGGGGAACTACACTCGAACAACCATAACGGATATGTAATCTATTTTTTTGTAACTGAAAGGATTTTATAGTATGGATTATAAAACACTTTTTAATTAATCTTGATATTGTTTGGGGTTTCATCTCATGAATAGTATTTTACAGTTTTATACCAAAACACTAGATTGTTTGTGAATATATAAACATTTACAAAATTAATTTAAAAAACACTGAATATATAAGTTAATATTTGTTATTTTTTATTAATATATTTTAAAATTGTGAGGCACAAGGGATCTCAAGTGGAGAATATTAATAACAAGCTGGGTAGAACCACTCCATGTGTCCTCTTTGATCACCTGTTACCCCGACGTTTTTTAATAGTAAAACTTGAGGGGTTGAAGCAGATTGTATCAATAGATTTGCAGTTCCTGAATAGTTATATGAATTGCAAGTATTAATGAAAATATTTAGATTAGAAAGTAATTGTATTTATTAGTTTCGAAAAATAAACATTAACAAATTCTCTTAATAAATACTACATGGTACAAATCAAGGTTTTTAAAATCGAATCGGTCATTGAACCGTTTTTGGGTCCAGTTTTTGGTTTGACCGGTTTAACCGGTGAACCAACCGATTCAAACAACAACGAAAATCTGATGAGAGGGCAGGTAATTTTGTAATTTTATTAAAATTAAGGGTTAAAATCGGTATAAGAAAGGAATGGTAAGGGTGAAATTGGAAAAAAAAATTACAAGAGAAATTGAACCGGTGGTTTTTCCGGTTCTACCGGTTCCACCGGTTTTGACCGGTTTTAACCTCAAACGGTTTTTTATGTAAACTGAACCATTTTCATTACAGGGTACTGGTCCGACCGGTTCAACCGGCCGGTGTGGTCCGGTTTTAAAAACCTTGGTACAAATAAATCCCAGCTCTTCACCTTGACCAACGCATTTATACATATTGACACCCACAACATAAACTGAATTATACATATTGATAGGCAGCGGACCGTCATTGGTCAAAACAGTTTGCAACCGGTTTTGATGACTTACAGAAAACCTTATGCTCTATATGCTCTGTCCATGACTTGGTTGGAACTTGGAAGAAATCAGTATTATAAGTGAAAAGGATGGAAAGACATGCAGTTGCAGGCATTGCAGATTCACAAATAAGATTGGATTTCATGTCCTAAAGGTACATGACACTTCTTAGTCCTTTTTTTTTTTAACAAATATGTCCTTGAGAAGGTATAGAAATGTGCATAAACAAGGAATAAAATTTCTTAACAAGTTGTTGATAATAAGAACATATCTCCTAAAGGATCTCTAGCTAGAATCTCTACACCTGCCCATTAACTACAAATTTTAGTTCTTCTTTCTGTAGATTCAATACACAAGATAAGATTTAACAAATTTTGACCCAATTTATTTGTTATATAGATATACAAGAATAGTAACTTACAAAAGGAAAAGAAACAAATCACGCTTAGTTCACAGTCCTAGCTGCACCACAAGAAAAATGTATCTCCTTCGAATGTTCTTCCTGATCTTTCCAGTGACTTCAAAATGAGAAAAAATGAAAAACTCAGACTGCATGTTGTATCAGTCAGCTAATTGCACAGATCTTCTACATGGATTTAATATGTTCATTTGCATCAGATGATAGATATCATTGCGGGAAAGAATGTAAAGTGAACCAGATGATAAATTACCTCATAATAGATTTGAATGAGTAACATAGGTGCAAATGTTGGATGAATCTTTCAACAGCAAATTTCTGCTTTCTAACCCTCAATCATAAAAGATCAAGGGTAACCAAATTTTCTCATGCCATGTCCACAGTAGGGATTCTAGGCTCCACATAATAGCTCTGACTGCCATGCTCTAATATTTCCATCAGAATAGGCAGGAAATGGCATGGACCTACTCAGAATAAGGAGCTGTAGAGCTCTGCCCTTGATTAGCTGAATCCCAGAAAAAAAAAAGGGAGTAATATTTACTAAAGGTAGTTATATTCCACAATGATGTGAAGAGTTTAATGCCCTGTGCATTCTTTGGAGTGTGGACGTGCACGTGTAATGCTTTTCTTCAGAGTACACATGGGAGGAAAATGAAAATCTAGGAAGCAACCATTTTTTTACTCAGAGTATTGTATGAGGGAAAAGGCAACGGAATAAGAATCTAACCTTGGAAAAGTTTTTTTTTCTGGATTTTGATTGCTGTTTGTATGCATCTTTTGACACGTATCTTCAGCAGCTTAGCATTGAAAATCTGCAATAAAATGGAAATTTTAAATATTGAAACCAAACTAACCTCTCCCTAATGTCAATAGATATAATAGAACCCTTAAATCCGTGCATGATTGGCTGGGGCATTTCCCCACCAAATTCATGTGGGACTGGGGGATGCAGGCCCCAGGTCCCCAACTCATGTAGAAGTAGTTCCACCTAATATGCGTGTCCATTCCCACCAATTCACCCTAAATTCTCTACCAACTGGAACTATTCGGTCCCTGCTCTAGATTAAGAACAATAGTCAACATTTCTTTGATGAAATACATTTTCTAAGTTCACTTCTTCTTTTTTTAATTTTTTTTTTAATAAGCGAAAGTAACCAGGCCTAGTTTTTGCCCAAAGAGCAAAAGTCAAGCAATTATAAAATCAATTGACTATAATTTTTTTTTTCTTTTGATCAGCATCAACTGACTATAAATATTTTATGGTCCAGGTATAAAGCACAAGATGGGCAAAGGTCTGGGCTAGCTTGGCCGAAAGACTTAAGAAGGCCTTAATCAAAAAGTTGGGAAATCCCACTCAGAAGCAGTTGTGAGTAACATAGGCTTCTACACATGTCTTGCTGGATAGACTTCTTTTCTTTGCCTGCATGTCCAGATGTAAATACTGAGAAAGACAGAGAGAAGAAATCAGCACTTGCCTTTATCATGTCATCAATTGAATGGGTTTCCTTGACAATCTTATGGCGGTTCATGATAAGAACTGCTGCTACACAAAAGACAGGTAGCTCATCATCTCCATTCCCAGTTGAGATAATACTGCATGTTTGTAAGTGTTCATTTTTAGACCAAAAACTCTTTTTTAAGCCACAAAAGTGATAAGTGGATGCTGATTTTATTCCACCATTATCAGGTATCGAATGCTCCTCAGTTCCTTGGTTTGACTGTAAGGTGCCCCTTAAACTACCATTTCCATATTCTGCGCCTTCCTCCTTCATTTCTGATCCAGAGTCCCTTGGGAGCTCTATGATTAATGCCTCCAGATGGTTTTCCTCTAAATTGTAAGCCAAGGATTCATCAAATTCAGCAGCCCACACGATCTGCATTTGGATGATTTTGTCAATGAAAATTAAAAAAAAAAAAAAAAAGAAGGGGGTGGGGGGTGTTAAAAAAACAGTACATATAATAAGATCAGAAAAATGTGAAAAGGGCTTTACAATCTATACATGCAAAAAATGAATAACTTGTGACCTCCTACCATTTCTCATCTAAATAAATCAACTACACCGCTTAGGTAAATAATTTAACTTTATTGGAAATGCATAAATCAATGTTTTCTCATCTAAATAAAAACAATACAATTTTATAAATACATGCTCATCAACCGCTCAAAATTGACCATTAAAAAATAAGATGGTGAAAGTCAAACACATTCGATAAGCAGTTATACCACTATAAAATGTCTTAACACTCCAGTTTGCTAATTGAACTGCATATCTTAGTACTTTTCAGCAGAAGACAAGTCCCAGCATTAGATACAATTATTTTCTTATCTAGCAAAAATTTCTGATCCAAAAAATAATCTTTCGAATAATGTTGATCATTTTAAGCAAAAAAAGGATCAGTTTTTTCTGATGCAACAGGTATCAGCTGTGAAATTGTCATCCTTGTTAGCTTTTTTCATTGGTTATTGTTATTCTTTTCCTCCCTTAATTACATTATTCATATCACATTACATGCATAAGACTAAAATTCATGGTACAGGTCATGACTAAATTTATCATTCACCATAAACATATTGTTGTTAATGCCATCATTATGATTTTTCGACATGCAGAATTCTTAAACCATTATGTTTGTCGCATATAGAGTTACTATAGGAACCCTGAAGGAATAAAGCAGCTTTTAGAAGATTGTGAAGAAACAACTAGTAAATGCCTCTCATACTACCAAAAGAATAGGCTAGCATTGGGAAAATGTTTCAAACATTAATCTAAAACAAATTATCGCTAGAAGTCCTCCATGTTATTTCAGTAGATGGCTTAGTACTTGATCTACTGATCATCACAGTCTATAATGTGTAGATTAGAACTAATATATCAATATTTCCTGTATATACTATGATGTAAATAATATGATGGATTTGGTAGTTAATGTCATCCAGTGAGACTAAGAGAACAAACCTCCCACAGACCTTGTTAAAGGATAGCTCTCATTGAAATAGAACCAGCAGCATTGGGAATGCAAAATGAAGACTTTCAGCACCAATATTTGACAAGTGTGCAAAGATTTCCCCGTCTGTAAGTTCCAAGATATGCCACAATGCTTGCAACTGCTTCATCACTTGACTTGGTCCTTCCACCTGAAAATTCTCACGCTGTAGGCATCCATAAAAAAATGCTAGTGAAATAATACAAATTATCTAACTCATCATATTTTCTAGTCTATAATAGTACAATACCAGTCTCCTTATGAGCCTCTCAAAGCACCAAAATGCGTCAACATTATTCTCAAAGAGCAAGACAAAGGGAGACAACAAGCCACTCATACCTACAACCAAAATACTTAGTTTATTTGTGATGTTTAATGCTAACGCTTTAAATTGTATTGTTAAAATCTTTGTGCCATCAATAAATAGCAGTTGGAAAGCAGAGAAAGGTTTAACCTTGACAATAACCAGTTGCAGGATCAACCCATGCATGGACAGCAAGAATATCAGACATCCTTGCTAGATTTCTTGTTTCCTTGTAGACTTCAAGATGACTACCTGTTCTCACCACATCAACAACTGGAAAAAGCAAGAATCCCATCAACTGATAGAGAATGAAGGAACATATTTTCAGAAAACAGCTTATTTAGTTATCTCTTCGGTGCCAATTCCAAAGCCATTCAGATACTCTGTCATCATTTGCTGCTCTTCTTTAGATGTGGTTGCATTTGCCGATGGTGTTTTTGAGATATCTGATATTCTTAATCTGTAAATAAATTCTGCTTTATGACCTACATTACTGGACTCTAAGACTGATTGGTGCATATCAGGAATAACCAACTTGATTTCAGAATTAAAATGATGAGAAAAATTGCTAGATGGTGAAAAAGTATTTGGTTCCATGATTAACTCAGATTTTTCATTAATTTGGAAACTATGCATACTGTCATCCTCATATGGAACAAAGTCATTCTCATCTTGTCCACTATCAAACAAATCTATGACTGGTAGCAGGGGAAAATCAATATATGTTTCAGTTACAAAATGTGGTCTGTGATATTCTCTTCCTACTTTAGGGGAACTGCTGTTGTATGGTCCAGGAGTAGGCATAAAAGAAGAAGAGTCACATGCTGCACATAAGTACTCATCCTCAAGGTGACAAGATCGGTGGGATCACTTGGAATTTCCCTTTGGCCAGCATGTGACATATCTGTACAATTGATGCTCAAGTCACAAGAATTTTCTATGTTATCAGTATTATCAATGGAAGATTGTCAACTTTTGACAATAGTTTCCCTTTGCCTTTCATCTTTGGAGGATGGCCCCATATCCATAACCTTGGATCCTACAGGATAGGCAAGTGACCCAGTTCCAATGCTTGAATGCATTGTTTGACACCGCCTTATGAGATCCTGGTAATGTTCCCTGCATACAGTTTTGTGAAGCTGTTATATAAATAAATAATCAGTGCCTTGATTTTAGCAAATGCATAACCACAATAAGAAAGTCATTCATAACTACAGCTCAATAATTGCAAATAATAAGTTTTGTGCTCTTGTGAGGAGGGGACAAGAAAAGATAACTTTTTGAACCAAGACATGATAATAGAAATTCCAAACTGACAAGAAAGTGCTGGCTTTGTAGAATACATAAGCTCTTAGGGTGCATGCTAAGAAAATGATATTCTCATGATATATCTGGGCACGATGGGGTAGAGAAGATTAATCACCCCTCTTTCTATCCCAAGGAACTTATTCCTTCAATATTACTTCCCACATTCCCATTTTTTTCTTTCAAAAAAAAAAAAAAAAAAAAAAAAAGGGATGATAAGTGATATTTAACCTTGTTTCGGATATGAGTAACATTAGAGTATTAGACATATTGAATAAAGGAAATTCAGTTATGTGCTTGAGGCATGTATCTCAGTAAGAAAAAATGGGGGGGAAAAGCCTATACCTTACACAATGCTCTCAAATGCATTCAGTACTCTGCACTGCTTCCCAATGCATAACAACCAAGCAGAAATTCCCAAACTTCTGCCCTTATAGATGGATCAATGCCTAACATTAAGCAAAATAGCATGAATGTCAATTATAATCAATAATGAGTTACCTTTAGACTTGGGAGAAGGAGCAGCTTATTTGAGAAATTTCAATCAACATGGAACAGATCAAACTCAAAGAGAAAGAAGACAGCATCACATCACACTGACTGAAATTTGATCAAAGAAATCGACGCATTCTAAATAAAGCCAACTCCATTACAATCTTAGATTCCTGAAGTATAATATTGATAGGTAAACATTACAATTTTGAGAAGAGAGATTTACAACAAAATGATATGAAAACACGCAACAAAATACCTACTCCCAAAACAATCAGCTTGAGGGGTTTATTAAAACCACAAATCTTTCCATCGTTATCAAAAAGTGCAGACGAGAAGAAAAGCAGATCTCAGAAGGAAAGGGGGAACTTCCGTCCTCCTCCGTTACCATTTACGCGCAAACCGTTTATTCACTTTACCTTTCTTTCTCTTCCGTTTTCTTTACAGTTTAAAACTTCTCCTTTATTTTAGTTTTTATTTTTAATTACAAATCTCTCCCAAAAAAAAAACTTTTAACTCTCTTTTTTCGTAAAAAATATTTGTATAATTTAAATTATAACTAATTATACTAACTTAATTTATTAAGTAAGATGAACTTGGGTTATCTCTTATTTAATTCATTAATTTTTATTTTCAATTTAAAAAAATTAATATATACATTATATTATTTTATTTTTTACAAGTAGTAGGCGAAGAGATAACTAATCATAAATTTTTTAGTATACCACCAATGTATTCAGAACATTAAACATACGACGTAGCTTGCCCTGTGTCCCTGCCATCGTCAGCCTCCAAGCTTCAAACAAGAGCTTTTCCAAGAGAGAGGATGTTTAGATCGAAATATGAACTTTAAAATCTCGAATTTACCTTTGCCATCAAAAATGAAAAAGTCCAATTTACCTCAGAATATAAAAAGAAATAAATACGTCAAGGAACAAAATACACTTGAGGGTTTTTTTTAACATAAATAAATTGGGTTAATGCAAGTGTTCGTCCTTTTACTATTAAAAAAATTTAAATTTAAAATTTTTATTATTAATTTATTTTATATTCTCCCACTATTATTATTTGACTTTACATGTCTTTCCTCTACTAATAAAAAATATGTCTATATCATCCCTCCGTCCAATTTAAGGTAACGGACTGTATGTTCACTATTAACCTACAAACGGCTAAGATGTCTGATCCTTTTTTAATTACTTTGCCGTCCAACCATTCTTTGGTGGGCCCTGCCCATGCCACATCAGATCTCTTAAGTCTTCTTCTCACAGTCGTGCTTTGATGGGTCCCACCCATGCCTCATGGGAAAAAGAGAACATACTATACTAAAGCCACTTTCATATATGTATCAATTTCTGGATCTAGAAAAATTCCAGCTTCTTTCTCCCTCTTGTTGACTAGACCTCCATAGTTATCTCTTCAGTGGCAATATTACTTTTATGCATTGATACAATTCCAATATTAAACTTTGATTCTGGTAAAAAAAAAAATTTTAAACTTTGATTTAAAAAAATTTACTTTTCCTGTAACAAAATAATTATCATTTTTTGACATTAAATTTATTTTAAATTAATTATCTTTTTTTTTTCACTTTTTAAAGTAAATAAATAATTTTTTTACCTTATTCCTATTATTATTTATTCACTTTAATTAATCATCAAGTCACAAAAAAAAAATCTTTTTCTCTCTTATTTATTTTTTAAAAATAATTTAAATGAATACAAATATTATTCTCAAATTAAATATCTTTAGTTTGAAAGAAAAAAAAAAAACTACAATTATTTTTAGGATGGACCAACTCGGCTTCCAACACCCTGACAACAAGCTGAAAAATTGAAGGTTTCCCTCATTGTGATCAAAGCAATGTGAAGATCATATTGGCTTATTAAACCGAAGTTTTCTGGGGAACAAACTCTTCTAGTTTGTGGCCATCATAAGAGACTTCCTCGCTGATCTCTGAAAATTATTAAAAAAATAAAGACAGAGATTAGCGTAGATGAAGTAGGGCACGCATCTCAAGTACCATTGATAGGAAAATGTTTTAAATTTTAAAATGTAAATGGCATCTATCTATTACATTTACTGTCCATGATTCTCGATTAGCTTTTGAAAATTTTTATTATGGTTTTTTGAAATATTCTTTTGAAATTCAATATGAAATGTAAATTTTAAATATAAGCCTTTATGGGTAAAAAGATCACAACAAATCAGTTCAAAAAAAAGGTATTGAAACCCACAACGAAAAATATCAACTCATATGCAATGTTTTCAAAATCAAATCAAAAGTTAAATCGTTTTAATTTTTGGTTCGCAATTTTGATGGTCCAATTAGTTTAACCGGTTAAAAAATTAAGTTAATTGAATTTTAAATATATATTAAATATAATATAATGTTAACCATTTCAATGAATTAATAGTTGCTTTAGTGGTTAGGGCTTCGCACCTATAATAAGGAGAACTAAACTTCGAGTCAAAATTATTCAATTTGCAAAATACTATTATAATAAATCTTAATGCATCATCACGTAACAAACTTGCTTCTGATCGAGTGGTAGGAATTGTTTGAAACCTTTAAGAGATTCAGTGTTTGAATCCAAAGGAAGCCATTTTTCCTTTAAAATCCTTTTAAAATTCTTTAAAAGATATTCTTTGCAACATATTTTACAACAAGTTGGATGCTCCAATGGCAAATTGCTCGCAAACCTCTCATGAGGTTTGGTGTTTGAAACCCACACGAGGCATATTTTGGAGAAGTTTGTCCAAAAGTTGGCTTGGTTGGTTGCACGGGTTGTCGGTTTTGATTGGTTTGAGCGGTTTTGAATGTTTCAACCATTTATATGGTTTAAAATATCAATCCGACTCGTTTTCATTATCAGGTGCCGGTTCAATTGATTGGTCCAATTCGATTTTCAAAACATTGCTCATATGAAAAAAAATTATTACAAACCTTCTCGTTTCATTTTTAAGTTACAAATTCAACTTCACATTATGAAAGGATCACAGAGAGGAGAAGTATTACCTTAAGAGATGGGTTTGGATTTTTGGAGAGGGCCTTCAACAATGACGTTTTTCCACAGATGGGAGGAGACTTAGTAGTAGAGTTGTCCTACAACATGACTAAGACTACTTCAATTCATTTTATTTGTTACTTTTAGGTGACATTCTTGAAATTTTATTTCATTGAAAATCCTACAAAAGAAAAGGTATATGCAAAAGCGAATAGAAAAAACTGACATGGGTCAAGGGACCTCACGAATTTTGCAAACAAGAATCAAGAGCACATAAAGGGGTTCTTTAATGATCACCTTCAAGTTTTCTCAAGTTTTGCTTGGCCATTGTTGGTGGCTTTAATTCCTTTTACAACGTTTTATTTCCTTGTAGTGTTTTTTGGTTTCTCAGGTTGTTATCTTGGTTAGGGCAAATATTCTCATCCCTCAATGGAGACCTTGAAGTAGATGGGGGCTCTTGGTGAGATGAGAGAGCCGGTGACGAATTCTTGGCTACAGCCATCAGCCTTGTTGTTCTGCAAGTTGATGCTAGGGGAGTGGATGCTGATGGGAGGGAGTCCCATGAGCCATTGAGATTGGATGGCGATGGGTTGCTTTCTGATGCAGAACCGCCTCAATATCGTAGTCATTGCAATGATGCTAGGATAGCTTGCTATGGCATTTTTGGTTCATATAAGGGTGGCAGTAGCATTCGAGTGATGGGAGGGGGTGGCGTTTGTAGCAGTGATTGTGGAGGCAAGGTTGTAGGCGAAGGTTAGGGTTGGCCAAATTTTTAGGGATGATGAGTTGTTTAGGTATAGAGGGTTTCTCTGATGTGGCACAACTAGAGCCCCCTAAAAGAATGGCTAGAAAAAAAATAACGGTGGTTTTAAAAAGGATAATTTTTTGTACTATTTTCTTATATAGTTTATATGTTATTAAATGAATAAATATATGTAATATTATGAGTTTTAAATAAATAAAAAAAGATAATTATTTAAATAATACATAAGATTCTAAAAGAATAATACAAAAAATTATTTCTAAATTATTTTCTAAAAAAGAAATAAAAAATCAAATTTCTAACATATTTGTAGGTTAACAATTAACAAACAATTGTTACCTTTAAATTGGACAGAAGGACAACATTAATACATTTTTTATTAGTAGAGGGAGGGTATGTGTAGTTAAATGATAGTAGAGGAAGGATATGTGTAGTTAAATAATAGTAAAAGGAGGACATGAGGTAAATTAATAGCAGAAGGCTTAGTTTGAATTTTTTTAATAATAGAGGGATGACAGTTGATATTAACCCTTAAAAAAAAGGAAAAAATTCGGCTTTTCTCATGCGAAATTAATGACAAAAAGGTTTTTCTTCATTAATTAAAAAAAGATAATTACCAATTATTATCATTATATATTTTTAATAAGTATTTGTCTAATTTGTGCACTAAATGACATATATTAAAACTTTTTAATTAAGATATTTTTAATTAATTTTATATAAATTTTTATATCATATTTATAATTTTTTTTATAAATTTTAAAATAAAATATTTTATTTTATTTTATAGTTACATATTATATTATATTTTATTTAAATTTTAAAATAAAATATTTTATTTTATTTTATAGTTACATATTATATTATATTTTATTTAAATTTTAAAATAAAATATTTTATTTTATTTTATATTTACAGATTATATTATATTTAAATTTTATATAAAAATTTATATAAAATTAATTATAAATACCATAAGTTTCTATCGTGCGCCTTAAAAAATCCCTTTCAATAAAGAGTGAAGGAAAAGGAGTTGAAGAGTCGAATACAATTTAGTGGTGTTCCCACTTATGGATCGGAGTGGTACCGCTCCGCCATCACGTGAAGAAAGACAAAAGGTTTCGTTCTAGAGTCAAAAAAATTCTGTAAAAAATTCTCAAAAGGTGGGTCGAACAAACTTTCCCCCGAGGAATAGGGGTTAAATTTAATAAATAATTTTTTAATTATGTGATTTATTTTAATTTAATTTAAAAATAATTTTTTTAAATGATTTATAAATTATTAATTTTGTTTTAAAATGTTTTATTTGATAAATATTTCGTTAACTAACTAACGAAATTCTTTTTAATTATTGACAAGTTGTCCCTTAAATTTTTAAAAAATATTAAATAAAATATATATTTTTATTTTTTACAATATTTTATTTTTAAAATTCAAAATTTTTTATCAAATATAATAATTAATCAAGATGAAATTTTAAGGTTAAATACTGTAGATGCCGTATGGCGATGTATAATGAAGCAATTTTCGTTGTGTTCAAAGAAAAAAAAAAAAAACAGAATACCCATCACCTTCACTCTCCATCTCTCCTGGCTCTCCATCAACGGAGTCGCAAAGGCCATCACAGTCGCCATCGGTATATCCAGTCTAGCCGGCCTCTTCCTCTTCAAAAGCGACTCGGGACCAAAACCCGCACTGGAACCCAAAGAAGACGGAGATGAGGATGAGAGAAGTGACCCAGATGACGTTTTTTGAATCCTTATACGAAACGGCGATGAAGGCGAAGATGACAGAGACGGAGAAGAAGGAGAATATGTGGGTTTGAGGTGGGTTAAGGTCAAATTAAGAGCCTCAGCTGACGGAGAAAGTATTGAGGTTTTTTTTACAGAAGAAAGATGAGGAAGGAGAGAAGACTGGGGAGCTTGATACCGCGACGGAACACGACATGATTTTTTGAATCTGTTAATTTTTTCAAACAGTA